CAACGGAACCTTTTATATAAGTACGCTTGCATGGTCAATTTTCGCTCAAAAACGCGGTCTTCCCGAGGCTTCGACCTACACACCATAAATAAAGAAAAAACCGGAAAAATACACAAGAACACAAAGAAAACTGAAATAGAGCAAAACACACAATAAACTAGAAAACAAACTAAAAACCATCTAAAAGACCTAATATGAAGGAAAAAATGAAGCAAAAAAAACAACAAAAAATATAACAAAAATGAGATAAACAAAAGAAACAGTGGAAAAATGGGTGCGATACCACGCAGATGAAACGCACAAGACAGGGAAAGCTCAGTTGAGTGGGGTTCCATCCGAAAACCAATTGGTGGAAGGAAAAATAGACACATTTTAAATTGGCAAATTGTTTATGGATTTCTATATATCCATCTATATATATAATATAAGAATTACTATTTACCATAAATAGTAAGTCAAATTTTTCGGTCAACAACAATTACATTCTATTTTCGGAAATTGTTTTTTCTTTTTTTCAACATTAATCGGCTAGCATTAATTGCAAGCTATAATTATGGGTTTTTTTCTTAATCCGATATAGTTTATAGCTTTAAAATCCTATTTTATATTTAATTTCAAAATCTGTTGCAATTTTAATGTGTAAGACATACAATTGGTTGCAATTTTAATGTGTGGGAGATTTGATTCACATACAACTTCTTCCAAAAATATGGTTGCATTATTTAACATTTAATCAGTTGGTTTACGACTTTAAAACTCTATTTTATATTTGATTTCACAAAAGTTGGTTGCAATTTTCATGTGTAAGAAATCCGATTGCTCAAATCATTTAAAAAATTGGTGTCGTTATTTATTTTTGATTTATTAGCATACAAACATAATTTCTAAGAAACATGTGCTTATATTTTGTAAAATATTTATACATTATTTAATTTTAAATTTATTTACTATTTTAAATTGATTACATGAATAAATAATACTAACATGCATTAAATAATTTTCATTACATAAAATGAAAGAACAATAAGACGTACAACTTTTATAACTTTTATAAATAAAATGACATTATATGACAACAAAATTTATAATAAAATATAATTAGCTATTGTATGGTGAACAAGGATAAGTAAAACTGTTATTTTCTCTTATATCAATAAATAAATATATATACTAAAATTAAATTTATATTAGTATAAATGTGTTACCACACCATCTCTTTCCTTTTTCCTTTTTTTTCTCTCTCTCTTTATCTCTCTCTCTGTCATGCAAAATACACACAAAACACACATACACACACACACACAAATAAATTAATTATTTTACAAGATAGCTCTAACATGTTCATATCTAATGTTCTCTCTAAAAAAACAAGGTTGATTGAAAGAGATGGAAAACATATTATAATCTATTGTATTTTAAACTTAACGCTGATTAAAAGGGGTGGAAAATTGATAATAACCCTATTGCTTTTTAGACCTAAACGAACAAAGTATGTGAAATAACTTATTTAATATTTTATTATGTGCATCGCACAGGGTACGTACTAGTATATTTTAATCGAAAACCCACTAGTCTAGGGTTTATAAACATTGGAATTATAGATTGAAAATAAATTTTTTATTTAGATTTAATTTATTGAATAAAATTAGTTAATTTTTTTTTTTTTAAATGTTAATTGAGAATAATTTTGAATCTGTATTAAAATAATATTTAAAATATAATGATTAAAGTTTGTGTGATGTAAAAGTAGGAGATGTGTGATTGAATGTTATGAGTAGTTACAAATATGAAAGTTGATGAATAGTATATTTTGTTGAGGTAATGTGTGTAGATGACTTGGTTGATATCATTGAATATTGTAAGTAAAAAATTAATAATTTAACTTGTAATATTTGAATTAAAATACCTACAAACACTAACCTTAATAATCATAGTTGTTGTGGTTTGTTAACTACACTTACTCTTGCACCAGGGAAGCGAGCTGGTAGTATGATTAGACCGTATAAAGATGCAGCTTAATAGATGAAAAGAAATATAATTAAGATAAGAACCTACATATACTTAAAATATACCTAAGATATACACTCGAGATTCAATCCCCGTCAAGATGTCACAATTAAACTACAAGCGGAAGAAGACAAAACAAAACTGAAAACTTGTGCCTCTCGATAACTATAATAATGAAAAATTAATCTAATTTTCGGATTCAGCAGCAGATTAGCATCCCCGAACAAGTATTTGAAGAACACCTCCAGATTCATCCCCCGTTTATGAAACAAGTGTGCGTGCTTTAGCCCGTTGATGACGCCCTCCGCCATCGAGTTCGCTTCCCCCTTCACCTCTGTCAGGAACCACAACATATAGTGCTCTTGGTACTCGCCGAAACTTTGTGCATCTCGGGTGCCCTCGAATCTCCTCACCTAAAATCGTGGTTTCTGGTGCTCTCCTCGTCGGCGCGCACGACCTTCTCGTGGCCAGAAAACTGGTGGCTCTCCTTCTTGTCGAGAAAGATGACGGAATTTTGGGATCTTTCTGATGGATTCTTCGTAACATATCATCCGTAGTTTTTTGGGGCTAGTTTTTTTGTATGGTAACTAAATTAAAAAATATCTCCAATTAATTTGGTAGTTCAGGTAAATATGCAATTAAATTTGTTGCAGCAGTAAAAACACAAGGTGT